GGGGGGGGGGGGGAAGTGCTTTACTTCTCACATAACAGATGGGCTCTGTAGCACTCGTCAGGATATCTCATGGCACCCTGGTTGAGAATCACTGCTTTAGATATACCCAGCTCAAAGCAGGGGTGGGCAATTATTTTGACACAAGGGTCACACTAGGAAATCTGGTGAGCTGTTGAGGGCCAGGGGCAAGGGAGTGAAGTGGTGCGGCAGGGGCAGGAGGGCAGTTGATTGTATCCAGCCCAGGCCTGTCTACTCTGCACCCACAGCACAGGATGCCAGACAAAGCAGGTGGGTGGGGCCATGGGCAGGTGGGGAGTGGCATCCAAGAGCAGGATGGGTGAGCAGAGCCGGGATTGTGGGGAGGTGACAGTGTTGGGCCAGGGCCCGGGGCAGAGCCATGATCCACTCCCCACACATCCCTGAAATGGGCACCAGTTCTGCAGACAAGGATGTGCAGGACCAGGTTGCGGCTCTGCCCTAGACCTCAGGTCCATGCTGTCACCTACCCCGGTCCCGGCCCCTGCCCATCCATCCCACTCCCCACCCACCCGAGGCACCACCCCATATGCTCAGCTGACCACACCCTGCCTGCAGGGGTCCCAAACCAGTGTCCATAGAAACCCCACCTGCACTCCCAGGGCAGCAGGGCTGGGTAGTGTCGGTGGAGACATTAACAGTGGCAGCTAGGAAGAGCCGCCACTGCAGGAACTCCCAGGAAGCAGAGTCCAGCTGCCACACTGTCCCTGTCCTGCTGCATGCCCAGGGCAGCAGGACCAGCTGCACATACCACAGCCTGGGCTGCCCCCCATGCCAGGAGCCAGGTGGAGGGCATGGGACCCTCAATCGGCTGGACAGAATTCCTTGGCGGGCTAGATCCTGCTTGCAGGCTGTATTTTGCCCACCCCTGCTCTAAAGCATGCCACTATCCTACCACTCCTGCCATTGTCAGAGACAGATTTCTGGGCTAGATGGACCATTGGCCTGTCTCAGTATGGCACTTCTTATGTTATTATATCTTTCCCTAGCTCTTTGCAGCCTTCATCCAACCTCTCCCCCATTCCAGTTGTGAAATGATAAGAGCAACATGAAATTTTCAGAGGAGTGGAGATGCTATAGAAGGAAGTTTCTACTAGACCTGGTTCCCAGGGAAGTGGTGGCAAGCCAGACTCAGCACATCAGGAGCTAGGTTTCCTCTGAGTAATCAAACAATTTTTGTTATGGATAAATAAAAGTTTGAGTTTGTACTGAAACACTGGATATTTTTAAAAAGCACTTTACCCTTTCCAAGATGTGCAATTTGATACTTCTACTGAAATTTAGTAATACATTACTATTAGGAAACTGGTATCTTTGAAGGAAAGTGATAAAACTGATTAGAAGCCTGTGATGTATGATTTATGGGGAACGGCAAAAGAACTTGGATTATTTAGTCTGGGAAAGAGAAGACTATGGAGCAATTCGATAAGTCTTCAAATACCTGAAGGGAATTAGAGAGGATGAAGATGGACTTTTCTCTGCGGTTTTACGGGACAGGACTAAGAGCAATTACCCCAAACTGCAACAGAGGAAATTTAGGATGGAGATTAACAACAACCTTCTCACTATAAGGGTGGTCAAGCATTGGAATAGACTACCTAGATAAATTATGGAATCTCTATTCCTGGAAACTTTCAGGAGTAGGTTGGACAGACATTTGGCTAGGATGGGTTAGTCAGTGATGATCCTGCATTGAGCAGGGGGCTGGGCTAAATGACCTCATGAGGTCCCTTCCAGCCCTACTTTCCTATGAAAAGAAACAATTACAAGTGTTTTGACATATGGGAGAAAAAACATTCTCCTTAATTTACCATCCGCATATACACACACACACACACACACGCACACACACACACACATCCACATATATACATATATATATATAATATTCACACACACATATATATACAAACACATATATATATACACACACACACACACACACGCACACACACACACACATCCACATATATACATATATATATATAATATTCACACACACATATATATACAAACACATATATATATACACACACACATATATACACACACACACACACTGTAGTATATATGACATAGTATATATGACTGAAGTATGTTTATAGTATTAAGTTGCAGGGATAAACAGTCCTCAAGAAAATGATTTTACCTTGTTGCTAGGCACAACATTTGCATTCTACCCTATTAAAAAAATGAAGATTTCTTTTTCTGTAAGAGAACTGGTTACTGCTGATAAATGGCCTTTCTGCTTTAACCATCTTCTCCCACATTCAAGCTGTTTACTAGAGATTCCCCAAATGAGTGCTTAAAAGCTCCTCATGTCACTCTGTTTTTATTTATGGGAAGATGTAAAAATGGGTGAAAGGACAGCATCATGATGTCTGAAAACAAGGTCTTCAGGAGAGGTAGTTAATCTGAAGTCAGGCAGAAAGCAGGGCATAGCATCACCTTAGAGATTAACTGGTTCAGTTAGTCTCTAAGGTCTATTTGGTTTTTGCCCTCACTCTTCTGAGCAGCACAGGAAATGAGAAAAGGAGTAAAATAGCTATGCTGGCTGTGACTGAAAAGGGCCTCATACACTATTATTCCCTGTGTTCTGGTTCTTATAGTGGAGAACTACCTGTGGCCTTTGGCCCTTTCCTTGGTATCTAGAGATCTATGAAACTCAGAAAATATGGCACCAACAGAACCCTTTTCAAGGACTATCCAAACCAATAAAATGATTTGTTGGAGCAGGTCCACACCCTTTCATATGTCTAACTGTTCCTTGGATCTTGATCAAATCAAAATATGGTTAGTGCTATAATCTGCAAATTTCTCAGAAGCACTGTCTCAAGGATTGGGTTTGAATAAGTCTGCCAGCTAGTGATAAACTTCTGAATGTAAAGCCAATATAAAATATTTAAAGTACACTGATATTCTTAAACCACTCTCCCTCCCCATTGCAATGCTTTGGAGGTCCTTGAGTTCGATGCTGTGATAAAGGAACCGTATTGTTTCTTATCAATATAACCTAGAAGGATAAAGTTTTGGAAACAGAATTTTATCTCCTGTGAAGAACAGAACTCTGCTGTGAAACTGTGTTCCAAGTCTTCAAAGCAAGCTATGTCTTACTGGTAGGAATTTGTGTCTTACTGGCCAAGGTCTCAGAATGATATCCTGAGCAGCTGTAAATTGCTGTAGCCCATCCCAGCAAATCTGAGCAAAAGACAAAGTACTATATTTTATCATACACAACACACACTGTCCCCCTAAAAAATCAACTGGTTGAAACCTTAGTGTGTATATATGTGAAAAACAAGTAAAAAACAGTTTCTGATGGTTATGGGCAAAAGTAAAAGTAAAACCTGTACACAACTCACAGGGAGCAGAACAAAGGGTGTCCATACACATGCTCTGGTGAGGAGGGGGGAAAGAGGGAGAGCTTTAATTAAAGTGGCTCTGAGAGCCACTCTAATTAAACTGCCTGCCGCTCATTCAACAAGCTTTAGTTAAAGCTCCTTCACTGCCATTTTGAAACACAGGGACACTGAATACACATGATGCGGAGGCTGCTGGAGTGTGCTAATTAGCATGTATCAGAGCAGTGGTCCATCATGTGTATAGATGGCCAATGAGC